CCAAATCAATTCTTCTTCTACCGTATTCTCACCAATGCTTACAATGCTAAGTTCATTATGAAAGCCAGCATTTGCTTCCACAATTTCACGCGGTGTTTTCAATTTCAATTGCATTTCCATACCACGACATACTCCTCCTTCTATATTTTTTAAAACTTATTTCACTCTCTTTTATTTAGTTCTTTTATTTTTATATTTTTTTAATTATTCATTTGCTTATTAATATTATTACTTCTCTATTTTTTCTGCTATTTTGACTTTTATTATTACTTTTAATTTGCGCCAATTGCTTCATTTTTCAACATGCTTATTTCTATCTTAATATTATGTTTTTTCTGTTTTAACTTATTCAATTATTTAAACAAATACCACTTAATTATCATTAATTATATTCGGCACTAGTGTATTAAACAGCAAATACATTTAATAGTTGACCATATCGGATAATGAAGTAATTAATCAAACAAATAACCAGTGAGAAAAATCAGCTGATAATTTCAAATGATTTCGATTAAACATTATCATCAGTAATATAATTTCCAATATAAATTGGCGACATGATTTTCAAATATTCAATTATTAGAGTTTTTGATATTATTTATTTCCTTCTTTCCTTTTTTTTTCGATAGTAATTAAAACAAACCAATTGAAATCGTTGCAGTACTGCGTGTACAACGTTCTGTTTTGAAAGTATACTCTTGCGGTCGTTCGGTGCTATTTGTAAATGTCGATTTGAATAAAACTTGTTCGCTTTTTGATTGGCGAACATAACGTGTATCTATTCCCGATACCGTATACCGTGGTTCCAAATATTCGTTAAATAAATGAGACCAGTTAATGTTATACTGCAAAATGCTATTTTTATTCATCATCCAATAGTTGATTAACATCATTTGCATACTTTGTAATTATTAATTAACCAAATTGCCAATTTACTTATAAATTCATCTGGTAACTAAAGAATACCTACAATCCTAGAATATAAGAATATAAATATAAAATCTATAGCATTAATAAACTAATAGTCCAATTCAGTGGATAACATCAGCTTATAGGTAGAGATAATTGATAAATAAACA